CCCCAAAACCCCAAAACCCCAAAACCCCAAAACCCCACTAATATTAAATTTATTAAATCAAGAATAAAACTAAATTCATAAATATTCAATTAGAAATCACATGTATTATTGCAGAGATATATTTTAGCCCTTTGTATGCTCTCTGATTTTAATGGTAAGAAACTCTTCTAATTTTTTGAGTGCCTAGTAATTTACGTGTTTTTCATCCTTGCAATAATCATTTATTATCTACTAAGGTGAATCATATCTCCTCACTGCTATCTGCTTTACTCTATGCTTATCAATTTGCAAATCAAAGTAGAATAATATCTCATCAGAGTCTTCTTAATAGTTAAACTGTCTATGTCTATTTGGCCTGGGAGGCACTTCACTTTATTATCTTAGAAATTATGTCTCATTATCCATTTCAAATTATTTGACCTCACTGTTCTAGAATATATTGGTGCCATTTCTAAAGTCAGACTTGTCAAAACTTGTCATGTGCTAGTGGAAACTTAATTAGTCTGGAGTTGTGAAGGATAATGGTCTCTTAATAGAATTTTCCCTCTCAACACTGTCATGTAACCTTCTCAGCTGAATGCTATCTTTAATCTGATATCTCTGAGTGCTTACGCTTTATTCAACCCCTATTTCGCTTTCAATGTCTATGGCGTTAGATATACTCCCCCCTCTACTCCATTTTTATCTTTAAGATGAGGTGATTGATATATGCTTTAGAGGTATACTGGCTTAGTCCTGCTTATTGATCCTTTGATTGCTATGATTTCTCTTACTTTTGCTGTTTGATCTGGAGGAGTGAGTCTGTGCAAAAGAATTTGAGTTCATTATTTGAGTCTCCTTTAGGTTCTAATTATTTAACAAAGCACTGCTTATTGTGAATAATGCTGGCTTCTTACGATTTTCCTCATAGAAATCCTTGGTTCTTCTTTTATTTAGCTTCAAATTATTTATGGTCTTGAGATCTATTTTATTAGACTCACTGAATAAGTTTAGGTTCTGATATTTATTGTTATTTTCACCCTCATCTTCTATGGTCTCTTAAACATAATCATCATCGTATATATTTTGCTTGCTATTTTGATTCGAATCTAAATCCTAAAGATCAAAGATTGGCTTTTAATCAAATGGCTAAGTTTGCTAGATTTATGGCCTATTGATTTGTCCAAATTTATTGAAGATATTGGTCAAAGATTTGCTTGAATGGCTCTTTCTAGAGGATGTTGAGAGTCTTCTAAGCAGTTTGGAGTTGGTCCATTCTTTTAACTAAGAAAATCTATCTTACCTGTGATTAACTTCATTTATTCTCTATCTCATTTCACTGACTTGCTTCTTAGAATAAAGATCCCTTATTTTATATGTTCCAAGAGCGAAATTGAGCTAGAGAAAATCGTTTATGATTTCTTTAGGTGTGACTTGCTTATACTTTAGAAATAATGGATCGAATGCTTTCTATATCAGTTGCTCTATAATAAGCATTAATATTCTTCTTAAATTATGAAAAGGAAGATTATTAGCAAATATGATACTTACTTTATCTTTCCTTTAGATTAATCTATTAGTTGTACTCAATCAGCCCTTATAGTTCTTATACCTTATGAGATAAAATTTGTTCAGAGTTCTTTGTGTAAAAGATCTTGAGTATTTCCAGAGCAATTACTATTGGAAGTCTTTCCTTTAATGAAAGGCAGAACTAAAACCAAAGCTCCTCCTCAAATCTAATTTCCAGTTTCATTCTACTGGGAGGCATTCCTCCAATTATGTTCTATCTCTCTTGAGGACTATGATTAAAAGTGCTCAAATGAAATAGAATTCTAGACAAATCTCTAATTCCAATAGTATTATTATCACCTTTGAACAGCATAATCAAGCCTTTTATGTCTTTCATTGCTCTATGATTGTTAATCTGCACACTTTTAGAATTCTATTTGCCTTTTGAACTTGCTCTTAAAACTCTTTCGTCTTCTTATAGCTTTCTTTTCATTTCATGCTCTTATCTCTTTATATAGAAGTCTTAATAAAGCGAATCAAACACATATCTAGTCTTGTGGGAGTCAGCCCTTTTCTTTTACTTAGCAAGCTCAACTAATTCTCATGATCTAGAATTGATCTGTGGATGATAATTGAAAGAACTTTCATCACTCTGATTCAAATAGCCGCTCTCTTAGCTTTAGCTAATATCTGAACTCATTAAAAGCTTCTGCTTTTACTATTAATGAAGCGCTTAATCATAAAGCTTTTAAAATATTTTAGGATTTCCCTTTCTAAATCTATTAACACTTAATGTATACTTTCTCTATGAGATAAGTTCTCTTTATTGCAGCTGCTATATGCTCTCAATGTCTTCAGATCTGTAAAACTCTTGGTATTCATCATCAATATTAGGTTCTTCTATCGTATTTTTTGACACTATCAAGTTATTGAATAAAATTATACACTAGTATATTGATGATTCTTCATCTTGCTCATAAATGGGAAGATATTTCCCATTACTATCCTGCAGTTATTGATGCTGGTTGTAAAACGAGCCCAAAGGAGATTTAAATTATTGCTGCTAATAGGAACTTCCGCTTTTCATGTTAAAATTTATTCCTTTATTATCTATGATTTTTATTTAAGGTTTTTTTCCTAATGCTCTAATTAACTTTTTCTTGATTGATTTTAGCTATGGGGTTTTGGGGTTTTGGGGTTTTGGGGTTTTGGGG